CCATATTTTTAGCTTCAGATATTGTTACTATTTTTTCAAAGAGATCTTGAGGAGTCCCCTCAGCAGTACATAATAGTCTGGCCTTGTTCTCGTATATTACCTGTAATCACAGTGAAAAATGCAAATTATTCTTCTCACGCTGGGAAAAAGAAACCTAGAGGGTAATGGAAAAGAATATGATAATTCATTTAAATGTAATTATTCCTATGCTTCACGTTATGAGAATTCTTGGTTGTTCGATGTTTCGGAAACACAAGCAGAATTTTATTCTTTATTTTTGTAGAAAAAGTCCACATTTTATGCCATATAAGGAATATTTATAAATATCAAGATTCACAGGAACAAACTCAGCTAGATGGAGAAAAACACACTCAGTTATTCAGAGTTAGATTAATATACATAAGAGAAATGATAACAATACACTTCTGACACACTACTATCGCAAGGAACCTGGGATGGGAAGTGAAATCCACTCAACAATAGAGAGTGGATAGCAACATTCAAAATGTGCTCTAGCATTCGTCTCTGCATGATACTAGAGTCAACAAGCAAGGGAACGACTGATAGCAAGGTCATTCCGTGGGCAGAATGAAATATTACAATATAAAGGTTTTGATAAAATATGCTAATGAAACTCACAACAAATAAAGTTTTATATACAGAAAACCCATTTAGAATGGCAAGAGACTTACGTCAACTAAAGTGACAAATCTATGTGCAGCTGATTTATTGTGAAGCCCAAAAATTGGAATGCCTTCTAAAGCCAACGTGTGGAACTTCTCTGAAAACAAAATTGATATCCTGTGAGAACTTCGATTTATTGTTCTTACATTAGAAGCTGAGGATACCAAACTTCCCACAATGAGAATAAATGAAGTTACACAAAAAATAAATCATTTTTTTTGTTTTTAACATATTCAAAGCATTGTTACTTTTATCATTACCATGTGCAATTCATAGCAAACAATAAAACTGTACCCTGTCTTCTGGATAGGACACAAAAATTGTATGTATGCATGAATGAGAAAGTTCACTCAAAAATGACTTACTAAATAACCCAAAATAGTCTGCAGCCCCAAGAGGTCTTTCACAAAGTTCCTCGAAAGGAAAATAGGCACATCCGTTAGCTCCCAATGGAACCTAATGCAGAAAACAAGCACAGCTTAAAATTGATTATAACCACGATTGTGTGCTCAATGTGTCCAGTATCAATTTAGTACATACTTGCAGTTTCCTTCCCATAACTACTTCTACTTCTTGGGGAGTAGCTGTACCTTCTCCAATCAACTGTTGAAACCTTTGCTTGAGAAATCCAGATAAGTCTCCCCCAACGAAATAGAATCCTTCTTCGCCCTACAATCCAAATTTGCAGAAAATCAATTAAAAAAACAACAATTTGAGATTAGTGCACTTACATATATAAGATTCCTCATCATACCGAAGTCATTTTGCGGTAGTCAACTGATGAACCAATCTCATGTACTACGCATCTTTCCTACAGGAGTATACATGTATTAGGAAATAACAAAGGGGAAAATAACATAAGAAAACATATAATAGGCAATTACAAAGACAAAAATATAAATATGTCTTTATTCTTTGCTTTCTTCCACAGTACACACCCGAATTCCACAAAGCAGATGTAGCAATGGACTTGGAAAGCCAATCTAACACAGAAACATACCTTCAGTGATGCAATGAAGGGTAGAAAGAGATCCCTCTGCAGTCCACCTTCATACAGCTTATCTGGTGCACGATTCGATGTGGCTACTAGAATCTATACTCGTGTTCAAGCACATTGAAACACACGAATGTTTGAAATTAATTAGGCAATAATCCCACAATTATTGTTTTGACAGACCACCACACAGCTATATTACTTACAATGCCTTTGTTGAACAAATGTCTAAACAAGCGATTTAGTACCAATGCATCTGCTACATCTGTTACCTATTGAAAAACCAAACAACAATTCCAAGACATAGCATCAAAAAGTTTGCATGATCTATTATCACAAAATAAATAAATGTTATGCTAAAACTTTACCATAAATTCGTCAAGGCATAATAAAATTGAATCATCAGAAATCTCTCCTGCAACCACATCAAGTGGATCTGACAACCCCTTGTGCTTCTACAAGGATACAACAATAGGAAATCTGAGATAGGTTTCATCTTATTCTGTTTGCCAATTAAACATACAAAGACAACATCATTCTGGAAACTGGAAACAAACAATTAATGCTCAAAGCATAAGACATCTTTTTTGTCTTACGAAGATTTTCAAACAAATCCTTTGCAAAAACATACATAATTATTGGCACTGTCCCCCTGTATTAAGTAATAAATTCGACTGTAAAGCAAATTCCAACCACAAAAATAGACACAAGTAAAGCAATTCGACTGTAGGTTACTTGGATTTATTATCAACAGTAACTATATTGGGAAAACTGTAGTGTAAGATGTATCACAATAAATAGATTTGCCTCTTTTATCCACCAAAAAGAAAAGAAAAGAAAAACATTTGACGGGAAATTAACAGGTTGGGTAAACTTACCTGTAACATGCTATGTACATTCAACATAAAGTCATGAAAATGAATCCTCTTTTTCCTCCAATTAGAGGGCCTGATAAGAATCAACCGGTGAAGACAGTAAAGGTATAAATCCTCATAAGGACACACTTCCATAGTATATTCTAAAAATGCCTCATATTCTTCCTATATTGAAAGTTCAAAAGCTATGGCAACTAATGCAACAAGACAACATCAAATGAGAAAACAAAAGTCACTAGAAAATAAATTCATTCAAACTCACAATTGATCAAAAAACAAGTCCATCAGCATAGTTTTACCAGTACCCACTCCTCCAAAAAGATATAAACCTTTTACAGGTGAGTAAGAAGGATGTGACAAGAGCCTAGACCACAGCCACCCACTCCTGCAAAATCAAAAGATCAATAAATTCAGAACCAAATAGGCAAACAAAATGTGAAAAATAAGCTTCAAGATTTGAGCAGACATATCAGCACGATGCAAGACCTATACTGGAAGTAAGCAATGGTTGATTACCTTACAGGTTTTTCATGATTGCGATCCAGTTGGCAGACATCAGCAGACTCAACAAGCTCATCATATAGTCTCTGAAGTTCTGACAGAGTGTCAACCTGTTTCAAAAGAAAAGAAAACAAAGAACAAAGGAAATGAAGAATAAGTGCAACAACTGAGGAATAAGTGCCACAGTATATAATCCATATAGTAATATCCAACAACCTTTTATCGATAAAATAAGCAGGAAAATCCATTTCATCAATGAAATTAGGCATTAAAATGAAATGTAGACACTACCTGGCAAGCATCGCCTTCTACAAGTTCACCATTAGCAATTCTTCGTTCATACTCAACAAGAGGCCCAGCTTTGGTTGTTTCTGTAACTTAGAAAACAAATTCCAATACAAAAAGAAATAAGAAGAGAATAAGTTTCAAACCCTCCTGAATCCAGCACACCGAGAGAAAAATAGATGAGAACCTGTGTTTCTGAGTTTTGCAGCATCGGTCGAGAGAGCTCTCGTGATTGCTACAAACGAATGGTTTTTGAAAAAGTTGGTCTCAGCAGTATCAATAACTCTATAAGCTGAACTGTGAATATGACAGCTCTTTCCAAAATGACATGGGGATTCTTCTGCACCATTAACACTGAACAAAACACAATGTCGCCTCTGAAAGGCTGGTCGCCATTGTCGCAGACAACGGAGCACGTTTCTCATCCTCAACAACTCCCAACTCCCAATTCCTCTAATGAGCCCCCAAGAAAGGAATTAACTGTCCCTGATTTCAGAAACACAACTCACTAAAAATTCAATTTTTAATCATGACAATGAAACCAAAATTAAATCATGGGTCTTTGAACTCCGACTTTCCCCAAGAATTATAAATGAACAAATTTCAAGAAATCCCAAATCAAAGACACTAGTGATTCACCACAGTTTCTCAGTACAAAAAAAATATCCAAAATTAATAACAAAAAAATCTCGAGACAGGATTAAGAAGGTATTGCGCTTTGACCAAAATTAGAGACAGCGAAAGGGTAAATTCGTAACTTGGCGAGAATATTCCGACTAAACAAAGCGCCGATTGAATCTACCAATAAATGCAACAGACATGCATGATTCAAAACAAGGTTAACTTAATAAGACCACATAAAACCGCTAATTTCCAATTCGTTTCGATGAGAAAAAGTACGGAATGAGAAAAAAATGAAAAAAAAAAAAGACTGAACACTCGCTATAATTATTTAAAGGATAAAAAACCTCACCTGGGTGGACGTAGAAAATGCCCTGAAAAGAGCACTCCCACTAAACAGGAACAGCAGTAGTAAATAGAAAAGGAAAAGAAAAGAGAGTGTTTGGAAGAGAGAGAGATGACGATCTCTGATTACGATGATACAAGTTGTTCAGAAAGTTGAAGATGCAAAGGGACTCAGAAAAAAGTGAAGATGCTTGCTCAAGAGCTGCAACAACGTGGTCATGGTAATGCCTCCTCTTTTACTTTATGGACTAATTTTGTTCATGAAATGTGGGAATTTTTCACATATGATGGAGCCTACAAGCTAAGGTCAGCTTGGCTTTAATTTTTTTGGCATAACCTAAAGGTCAATAAGAATGACAATATTGATACCCACTGTTTTCTCTTTGCCCTTCTTTATTTTAACAATAAATAAAAAAATAAATAAATAAATATATATATATATATATATATATATATATGCATCTGCTACATTGTTTACCTATTGAAAAACCACACAATTCCAAGACATAGCATCAAAAAGTTTGCATGATCTATTATCACAAAATAAATAAATGTTATGCTAAAACTTTACCATAAATTCGTCAAGGCATAATAAAATTGAATCATCAGAAATCTCTCCTGCAACCACATCAAGTGGATCTGACAACCCCTTGTGCTTCTACAAGGATACAACAATAGGAAATCTGAGATAGGTTTCATCTTATTCTGTTTGCCAATTAAACATACAAAGACAACATCATTCTGGAAACTGGAAACAAACAATTAATGCTCAAAGCATAAGACATCTTACTGACTCATAATATACTGCAGGCAAAAGCAGTTTCAATTCTACTCTAGTACACTCAGATACCAAATCTCAGGTGTTGAGATTGTTGTTTCAGGTACATCACTTCTCACTCCATTTGTACCCCTGATAACCAACACTTTACAAGATCCCGGAGATTGGATGTACATCTTAGGTTGAGGTAAGAGATTTAGTGCTTGAATATTTCTATGAAAAAATATACTGATGAATAAAGGGCGGCTGTCGGCTCCTATTATTGCACATCGACCATTATCCAGTTCTTTAACATCCTAGTTTTCTTCTCTATTTCACAAATTTAAGGGTGCAACTTCAATTGCATTGCTAGTACTCAATCTATAGTTTTTCTCGATCTTAGATGATCATATAAGTAATATTAAAAGGCGAGATATTCCAATTGGCATCACTAAATTGTTACAAAAAAATATTACTAGTTGTTTTGCGTAGAGATATACCATACCTACTAATGGTGCGGTCTTTTGCAAACCCCAATTCATTATCCACGCAAAGATTAGAATCATCATTTTTCCTTGATCTTGAAGAGGTTCTGGGAGCCATATTTTTAGCTTCAGATATTGTTACTATTTTTTCAAAGAGATCTTGAGGAGTCCCCTCAGCAGTACATAATAGTCTGGCCTTGTTCTCGTATATTACCTGTAATCACAGTGAAAAATGCAAATTATTCTTCTCACGCTGGGAAAAAGAAACCTAGAGGGTAATGGAAAAGAATATGATAATTCATTTAAATGTAATTATTCCTAAGCTTCACGTTATGAGAATTCTTGGTTGTTCGATGTTTCGGAAACACAAGCAGAATTTTATTCTTTATTTTTGTAGAAAAAGCCCACATTTTATGCCATATAAGGAATATTTATAAATATCAAGATTCACAGGAACAAACTCAGCTAGATGGAGAAAAACACACTCAGTTATTCAGAGTAAGAGTAATATACATAAGAGAAATGATAACAATACACTTCTGACACACTACTATCGCAAGGAACCTGGGAAGGGAAGTGAAATCCACTCAACAATAGAGAGTGGATAGCAACATTCAAAATGTGCTCTAGCATTCGTCTCTGCATGATACTAGAGTCAACAAGCAAGGGAACGACTGATAGCAAGGTCATTCCGTGGGCAGAATGAAATATTACAATATAAAGGTTTTGATAAAATATGCTAATGAAACTCACAACAAATAAAGTTTTATATACAGAAAACCCATTTAGAATGGCAAGAGACTTACGTCAACTAAAGTGACAAATCTATGTGCAGCTGATTTATTGTGAAGCCCAAAAATTGGAATGCCTTCTAAAGCCAACGTGTGGAACTTCTCTGAAAACAAAATTGATATCCTGTGAGAACTTCGATTTATTGTTCTTACATTAGAAGCTGAGGATACCAAACTTCCCACAATGAGAATAAATGAAGTTACACAAAAAATAAATCATTTTTTTTGGTTTTAACATATTCAAAGCATTGTTACTTTTATCATTACCATGTGCAATTCATAGCAAACAATAAAACTGTACCCTGTCTTCTGGATAGGACACAAAAAATGTATGTATGCATGAATGAGAAAGTTCACTCAAAAATGACTTACTAAATAACCCAAAATAGTCTGCAGCCCCAAGAGGTCTGTCACAAAGTTCCTCGAAAGGAAAATAGGCACATCCGTTAGCTCCCAATGGAACCTAATGCAGAAAACAAGCACAGCTTAAAATTGATTATAACCACGATTGTGTGCTCAATGTGTCCAGTATCAATTTAGTACATACTTGCAGTTTCCTTCCCATAACTACTTCTACTTCTTGGGGAGTAGCTGTACCTTCTCCAATCAACTGTTGAAACCTTTGCTTGAGAAATCCAGATAAGTCTCCCCCAACGAAATAGAATCCTTCTTCGCCCTACAATCCAAATTTGCAGAAAATCAATTAAAAAAACAACAATTTGAGATTAGTGCACTTACATATATAAGATTCCTCATCATACCGAAGTCATTTTGCGGTAGTCAACTGATGAACCAATCTCATGTACTACGCATCTTTCCTACAGGAGTATACATGTATTAGGAAATAACAAAGGGGAAAATAACATAAGAAAACATATAATAGGCAATTACAAAGACAAAAATATAAATATGTCTTTATTCTTTGCTTTCTTCCACAGTACACACCCGAATTCCACAAAGCAGATGTAGCAATGGACTTGGAAAGCCAATCTAACACAGAAACATACCTTCAGTGATGCAATGAAGGGTAGAAAGAGATCCCTCTGCAGTCCACCTTCATACAGCTTATCTGGTGCACGATTCGATGTGGCTACTAGAATCTATACTCGTGTTCAAGCACATTGAAACACACGAATGTTTGAAATTAATTAGGCAATAATCCCACAATTATTGTTTTGACAGACCACCACACAGCTATATTACTTACAATGCCTTTGTTGAACAAATGTCTAAACAAGCGATTTAGTACCAATGCATCTGCTACATCTGTTACCTATTGAAAAACCAAACAACAATTCCAAGACATAGCATCAAAAAGTTTGCATGATCTATTATCACAAAATAAATAAATTTTATGCTAAAACTTTACCATAAATTCGTCAAGGCATAATAAAATTGAATCATCAGAAATCTCTCCTGCAACCACATCAAGTGGATCTGACAACCCCTTGTGCTTCTACAAGGATACAACAATAGGAAATCTGAGATAGGTTTCATCTTATTCTGTTTGCCAATTAAACATACAAAGACAACATCATTCTGGAAACTGGAAACAAACAATTAATGCTCAAAGCATAAGACATCTTTTTTGTCTTACGAAGATTTTCAAACAAATCCTTTGCAAAAACATACATAATTATTGGCACTGTCCCCCTGTATTAAGTAATAAATTCGACTGTAAAGCAAATTCCAACCACAAAAATAGACACAAGTAAAGCAATTCGACTGTAGGTTACTTGGATTTATTATCAACAGTAACTTTATTGGGAAAACTGTAGTGTAAGATGTATCACAATAAATAGATTTGCCTCTTTTATCCACCAAAAAGAAAAGAAAAGAAAAACATTTGACGGGAAATTAACAGGTTGGGTAAACTTACCTGTAACATGCTATGTACATTCAACATAAAGTCATGAAAATGAATCCTCTTTTTCCTCCAATTAGAGGGCCTGATAAGAATCAACCGGTGAAGACAGTAAAGGTATAAATCCTCATAAGGACACACTTCCATAGTATATTCTAAAAATGCCTCATATTCTTCCTATATTGAAAGTTCAAAAGCTATGGCAACTAATGCAACAAGACAACATCAAATGAGAAAACAAAAGTCACTAGAAAATAAATTCATTCAAACTCACAATTGATCAAAAAACAAGTCCATCAGCATAGTTTTACCAGTACCCACTCCTCCAAAAAGATATAAACCTTTTACAGGTGAGTAAGAAGGATGTGACAAGAGCCTAGACCACAGCCACCCACTCCTGCAAAATCAAAAGATCAATAAATTCAGAACCAAATAGGCAAACAAAATGTGAAAAATAAGCTTCAAGATTTGAGCAGACATATCAGCACGATGCAAGACCTATACTGGAAGTAAGCAATGGTTGATTACCTTACAGGTTTTTCATGATTGCGATCCAGTTGGCAGACATCAGCAGACTCAACAAGCTCATCATATAGTCTCTGAAGTTCTGATAGAGTGTCAACCTGTTTCAAAAGAAAAGAAAACAAAGAACAAAGGAAATGAAGAATAAGTGCAACAACTGAGGAATAAGTGCCACAGTATATAATCCATATAGTAATATCCAACAACCTTTTATCGATAAAATAAGCAGGAAAATCCATTTCATCAATGAAATTAGGCATTAAAATGAAATGTAGACACTACCTGGCAAGCATCTCCTTCTACAAGTTCACCATTAGCAATTCTTCGTTCATACTCAACAAGAGGCCCAGCTTTGGTTGTTTCTGTAACTTAGAAAACAAATTCCAATACAAAAAGAAATAAGAAGAGAATAAGTTTCAAACCCTCCTGAATCCAGCACACCGAGAGAAAAATAGATGAGAACCTGTGTTTCTGAGTTTTGCAGCATCGGTCGAGAGAGCTCTCGTGA